AACTAGCATACGACCACTATTTCTGAAAAAAATAGTGTGGCTAATTTAGTGATTCCAAACCCCTCCCCCTCGATGGCAGTACTTTTAGGGCAACCTGGCTGGAAAAAAGCTTTGGAAAGTAGAAAAAAATAGGATGTTGGGAACACGATGGCAGGCAGGATAGGGAAGAGAGGGAAACGTATCAAATGAAGAAGTGTGGGAAGGAGATATTGATGCTGCGTTCATATTTTGCGGCAGCGTCCATCAGCGACCAGGGAAGTTAGATATCGATCTAGCGTACGCCAGCGTCCACCAGCGACCACCATCGTCGAGGAATGGAGACACAGGAGGATAGCAGACTGCTGGTAGAGTATGGGGCATTAAGAGAGAGCAGACAGCTGGCTTAGACGTCCTAAGCTGCGGTGTGTGCAACCGCACCACAGCGTTAGAGCCCATGATTATGCATTTCAGTAACCGGATTATGCAGGTACGTGCGGATGGACGGGTGCGTGCACTTAGATACCCGGGTGGGCGTGGCCACAGGGGCAAGGCTTCGAAATGGACCGGTGTTTCCCAAATTTGTGCCGCAATAGATATTAGACGGGAGCACCGTTTACAAGGTAAACGTTCCTATTGTCTTCAAGGTGTGCTTAATGTTGATTTCATGATCATACGTAAGACCTGATAACCACTTTTTCGCCTCTGCCTAATGTATACCTTTGCAAAAAGCATAAATTCCAATCTAAGTTAATTCTTCCTCTCGGAACTTCTTAGTTCAAGCAGTAGAAACACACAGCTGTTTAATAAGAAGGAAATTATCGTCTCCAAGCTCAGGAAGAAGCGCTGAAGCCTAATTATATCCGTCCACGTCAAGCCCTCGCCCTATTTTGGCCACGCCCACCGGGTATCTAAGTCACGTTGCCGGATGGATGAGCCGCATTTTCACAACGCCGAATCCAGCAATCTGCTTCCTTTTGCTTCCCATATTCTACCAGCACTCTACTACCTTCCTACTTCCCCATACCCTCCACTCCTGGAGGACGCTGGCATTCGCTAGATCGCATCCATCCTTTCCTAGTCCTTGGCACGGACGGACGCTCGAAACACTAGGGGTCGGTGGTGGACGCTGCTGCAAAGAACGCAACCCTCAGCATGCGCAGAGGTGCCTAGTACTGAAAGAAGATCTATCTTAGGGATTCTATAGCACACGCGTAGTAAGCAGAATTCAATATGGAACGTTTCACCAGAATGTAAATGTAAAGAGCACGGAAAAAGTAAAATAGTCAGCCACATCTGTTCTTTTTTAATTTTTGTCTAATTTCAGAAGATCGACTACGCTAAGCGAAAGAAACAGCATGAAATGTTTATAGAGTCCTATAAGGTTCCCATGATACAAGAAGTACCTCGGCTTTACTAAAAGGCACTCATTTTAACATCGCAGGTCATTTTTTAACTAGGCAAGTAAATATTCGCTATCGCGTCCACTCACTGGCCTGTCGATAATGGCAAGTATATGGCAAGGAGAAATTAGTGCAGTGAAATCGGAGTAGATCACGAAATCAGTGTTGGTGACAATTTCTTCCCATCACCAGCTCCAACAGATTTTTGATCCGTAGACGATCTAATGGTATGTTCAGAAAAGAAATGCTTGTTTCAAATTCTGGAGTGAAAAACGATAAATGAAAGCAAAGGTAAAGGTGTGAGAAGAATAATCAAAGTGTTGCAAAACAATCCTTGACCTTTAAAAATTTTTAGATCGTGATAATACATTCTTTCCAACGATCTGCCCCCGAAATCACCCGTATGCTGGAATGTCGCAATGAATAAATCAGCTGTTCACAACTCAGCTGACATCTTTCACATTCCTCCGAAAGCATGAGGAGTCATCGCTTATTTTGAAAATCCGATGGCCGACCTCGTCTGGAAATTGAAGAAGGAGCGTCATCTTGATTTTCCGTAGTCGTCCCGTTATTTATGGTCGGTGTTGTGGTGGTGGACATCTTTCGACGGACGGTTTTCCTTCAGCTGCAATGCTTCAATAAAAGTAACTGCTTTAACCTGTTAGAAGACAGATAATCTCTTCACCTAGTGAGGTCAGGATGATCGATGGGACCAATGCAGGTCGTACAGTGAGTAATTCAAGTAACTATCGAGATTTCTCTTAGACAACTTGAAGTCGAGTAGGGCTGAAAACACGAAGAACTTATCATTGAAAACAAGCTACGCAAGGTCATCCTCACACAATAATCCCTCCATCCCGCCACAGTGCGTTCATACTTTGTGGCAGCGTTTTGGACGTCTGCCTTTTGAGCGTTTCGAGCGCCTAAGGATGTATAGTTGTCGATTACTGGTGGAGAAGTTATTGGACGCTTAATACGCTAACAAAAAACGCTGTCGCGAAGTATGGACGCCCTCTGAGGTATCGAACATACCTTACGACGATGGAAAATCGGAGAACTGGAGAATCGTGAAATCGGAAAGATCGGGGAATCCGTCGAAAGGTAAGTATACGTAGCGATCTGGACATTCGGCGAATCGGAAAATGCACGAAAAAGATTGCGTACGCGTCTAATGATCCACAGTGCAAC